TTAGTTTATGAATAAACCACACTTCGTGGGTCCAAATAAACCGAAAAAGAACGCTGTTAACTTCTCCCCCAGCCTCCCGCTGGCCTCTCATTGGCTGTAGGCGATCGCTGATGTTATTTTCAGTCAAAACTCAATTCACACAGCATGATTTGAATCGCCGACAGCTCCAGATATTCAGCACGCCAAATATCTCCAATGGCCTAACTTAATCTAATTCAGTGTTTCCAGGGCCGGAGCTAGCTGAACTGCCGCTCTAGGCAGAGGACGATCATGCCACCCTCAACCCCAATGTGAAAACGAAAGTGACCGGTTTTGAAAATGAAGTGAGTTGTGGCGGACCTCTTTTCCAGCGTACTATGGGCGGATATAACTGAGGACGCGCGGGTGCTGAGGGAGGGAGGGAGGTGTCGCGGACACTGCGCTCTCAATTCTGCCGCCCTATGCGCGGATATAACTGAGGAAACGCAGGTGCTGATGGAGGTGTCGCTGACGCCGCCCTCTCTATTCTGTCGTCTATGCGCGAATATATTTGAGGACGGTGGGTGGTGAGGGAGGTGTCGCGGACATAACTGAGGACGCGGGTGGTAAAGGAGGTGTCGCGGATGCCGCCCTCTCTATACTGCCACCCTAGGCGGCTGCCTAGGTCGCCTCTATGGACGCGCCGGCCCTGAGTGTTTCTCAACTGGTGGGTCGTGACCCAAAAGTGGGTCGCGGGAACATTTTCTGTGGGTCGCGGAGTGTGTGTGGTCAAAAAAAACAACAAAAAGTTACATTTTTCACTAATTTTGACTTTTATTTTGAAATGCGTGCACGACAACTATATTGTTTGACATGTGAAATTTCATTTAATTATAGCAACAAATATATGTCGAAGCGCAAATACGACCCTGAATATGTCAAGTATGGATTTACATATATTGATGGAAAAAAGACTTAAAGCCTCAGTGTGTCATATCATATGTAGCGAGGTGCTCTCACAAAAGAGCACGAAACCTTCTAAATTAAAACGACATTAAAGGACACCTAGGTTACCCCTTTTTTCAGATTTAATATAAGTCTTTTGCGTCTCTAGAATGTGTATATAAAGTTTCAGATCAAAATACCCATCAGGTTTTTCATTATACCTTTTACAAGATGCTGTTTTATACTGATTTCCGGCAGGGGGTGGTTTTGTCGTACTGCGCCTTTAAGACGAGTCTTTCCCGCTCACTGTTTCTACATGCCTCCTCCCTCAGCTGCGTCAGACAACAGACAGACTTAAAGGAAGAAGGTCTCATGTAGCGTTTGTGAGATACTACAGGAAGAACTAACCTTTACTAATCAGTACTGTGAAGTTGCATTGATGAGTCACACACAATATCGTTACAAAGTTAACGCGCACGCCCATGCACACACACACACACACACACAGGCAGGCAGGCAGACAGACAGAGCGCGCTTAGCTTAGTTAAGGCTAACCTCAAGTGCTGTGTGGATATCTGTTATGCTAATATACAAAATAAACCCGATTTAACTTCCACAAACCGGGATTGAAGCGCCTTCTTTTATAATTGTTCTGACACGCGGCTGTGCTGATGAAGTAAAGCTGGAGTAAATTGCTGTAATTAATTACACACATACTCTGTTTTAAAACACTTTAAACATGTGAAACTCACTCTTAATCACATTTGATGATGATTGATGATCCTAGCAAACACAACAGATCTTTTATTCCCGGTTGCTTTGCGTATGACTGCCTTGTCTTGTTGACATATACACGCGACTACCGGAACATGTTAATGCTCGCAGCTGTCAATCAATTCGGTGGGCGGGGGGATCGCACACCTACGTAATGGTGCGATCGATTTGAAATAAGCTCCAATTGGCCGACCCTTTTTTTTGTAGTTAAATTGAAAAAAAAGGACTGGGTGTGTTCATATCACCCCAGTATGACGGTCTATACACTATACCAACACACAGATCTGTCCAAACAGCTTGAAAAGTAGATTTTTCACCATAGGTGCCCTTTAAGAAACCAGACAACATGTTTTATTAACAGTTCAGTTTAGTTCATGGTAACTGAACATTTTCTGACCCTAACCACTGTTTACAGTATTTGTCGTTTTTACTTTGTAATATTTCTATAATTTGATACATTTTGTTAAATGACAGCAGTAAAATATTGTTTATTTGTAAGTCTTGATGATTTTCTTATGATTTATGTGTCACTACTTGTGTATGCTAACAAATAAATACAAATTAATGATAAGTCTTAAAATTGTATTACAGTTCCTAAAAATTTGGGTCGCGGCTTGATGCCCATGTAAAAATGTGGGTCCCATGGCCAAACCAGTTGAGAAACCATTGATCTAATTAACCTAGTGAAGCCTTTACATGTCACTTTAAGCTGAACACAAGTGTCTTGCTAAATATCTAGTAAAATATGATGTGCCGTCATCATGGCAAAGACAACAGAATTAGCAATCAGAAATGAGTTACTAAAAGTTAAAAGACTTGTAAAATCTCTCCATTAAACAGCAATTAGGAGATGTTTGAAAGAGAAGTGAAAGTTCATATAAGGGTTAATAATTCAGTCTTCAACAGCAGTGGTTTGTAGAATTGAGTTAACACCGTTCCTGTTGAGACGTTACAGACTCAACACACTGACCACATAAAAGAGTCCATTAAAGAAGCGGCTGTAAAACGCCATTCATTCATGCGTTCATCAGCAGGAGAGGCTGGACAATGCGCTTACTGTTACTGCCGTCACTTCAAAGCAACACTTCAGGACAAAAGAGCAGATACAGAGCCAGCACTGACGGCCCTATAAATCTGACTGATTGTTTCCCAGATCCCTGTGTTTTTGGTTGCTCAAAATGTTCTGGATTTTTAAAGGTTCGATTATATTTTAGTCATTCAAACTATTTAAGGACATGGTATAAAAGTGTAAACTAAGTTTTGATAAAGGGAAGAACAGTGGGCGGGGCTAAAGATCTCCTTTTGGTGAACTTTGCTCAACGAGACTTTCTGATTGGTTGATTTTTTTTATTTATCATTATATCTGCGTATGTGTGTGTGGCCTTAATGCATTATTAAAATCCACCCTGCTAAAAAATCCAGCTTAAACCAGCCTAGGCTGGTTGGCTGGTTTTAGCTGGTTGACCAGGCTGGCTTTAGAGGGTTTTGGCCACTTCCAGGCTGGTTTCCAGCCATTTGGTCTTAGCTGGTCAGGCTGGAAAATGACCAGCTAAATCCAGCTAAAACCAGCTTGACCAGCCTGGTTTAAGCTGGACATAGCTGGGTTTTGGCTGGGCTCCCATCCTGCTAGGCTGGTCAAGCTGGTTTTAGCTGGTCAACTCCCAGCCTGACCAGTTAAGACCAGGCTGGAAATGGCTGAAAACCAGCCTGGAAGTGGCCAAAACCCCTCTAAAACCAGCCAGGTTGACCAGCTAAAACCAGCCAACCAGCCTAGGCTGGTTTAAGCTGGATTTTTCAGCAGGGAAAGTTCATTCATTCATTTACCTTCAGCTTAGTCTCTGAAATAGATCGCCACAGCAGAATGAACCGCTAACTATTCTGCCCTATGTTTTACACAGTGGATGCCCTTCCAGCCGCAAACCAATGCTGCAAAACACCCATACACACTCATTCACACACACTCTCATACACTACAGCTAATTTAATTTACCCAATCCAACTAAAGCACATGTGTTTGGACTGTGGGGGAAACCGGAGCACCCGGAGGAAACCCACGCTGACACAGGGAGAACATGCAAACTCCACACAGAAATGCCAACTGACCAAGCCAGGACTTGAACCAGTGACCTTCTTGCTGTGAGGCCACCGTGCCACCACACAAATCCAAAGTTGTGCTTGTCTAACATTAGCTAACGCACTATGAGTTACAAAAAACGTTGTTTTTGTTAACGAAGCTGAATAAATCCAGTAATAAATGTTGTATTCGGTGTTTGTTGACCTTAGTAAACACATTAAAACATCAACTAGCGAAAACCTACAGTAAAGTGTTTTTGTAAACATTGTATGAACATCATTTTTAATCTTCAATATCACCCATTAAATGTCTCAAATGCCTTCCTTTAAGATAATTTCCCCTCACAATTACAAGCTATAATCTCACAGTTAGCCATTTTACTTTCAGAATAGCATGTTTACATCTTTCCATTCTGAGTTATAACCTGCAAATTGTCATCTAGCGTTATGTTCTCATTAAGAAATTGTATGTATTTACTTAGTTTTACTAAAACTGAGGCACTTTTTTCAGACTGGTGCTACACACAGTCTCGCGCACTTACTTCCTGTCGCGTTCACGCGCCCTCAAGTGGCCAAGAGCACTAGTGCGTGTATTGGGACGGAGCCGATGTCATATGCTCCGGTAATTAAGTGAATCACAATTCTTGCAGCATTCGTGGCCGTGCAAAGATTCCTGCAGGGTTTGTATCAGAGTTTGCGTTGGTACACATCTAATATAGTCGAATCGCGCCCCCCAAAATGCTGCCTATGTAGGGTTAAAGTGCAGACACAGCCTCAGTGTTGAAACAAAGACCCGTCCAGATTAGGAAGGTGATTCAAACTACTGGGGTAAAGTTGGTTTTACATTCACACATTCAAACTTTCTCGCTAATATTATTTCCTAAAAGTATTCTTTGCAGGGGAAATCATATTAGCATGAGCAACAAACGACTATGAAAGTAAGCATTGATCACAGTCAATTAAATAACGCTGTCTCACAAGTGATTTCACAGCTAAAATAGTTGGTAAATAATATAGAAACGTTATTAGAAGTTGTCACTTTTCAAAAATGAACGAATGTGCGAAAATAAAAACAATTTTACCGCAATATTCAGACGCCGCAAGACAAACTCGCCTGTATGCAACCGGTGAGACCAATGCAGAACACGCAAACATTGCTACAACTTAAAGTTGTTAAAGAGAGTAGTTCCGATATAGATATAGAGCAATCAAGCAGACACTTGGAGAACAAAAAAAGCTAGTGTACTTACAGGATTGTGGTCTGAGGAAGAACTGCGGGCACTGATTCCAGGTTCAAATGCATGCATCTGACAGTGGTACGGAAACATAAACAGCGGCTCGGACATGAGGACACCCGGTACGGGCCACTGCTGAGGAGAAACACGCTGAGTACACTTAAAAAGCAGGGTAAGTTTCGCACAGTCCGCAACGCCATGACCGAAAGAGCAGTGCGCAGGAATCCAGCAGCAGTCCAGTGGGAAGTAGGGCAGTGTTACAGCCCGTGTACTAGACGGCATGAAAGACCAATCACAGCCTCCTCAATCATGTTCACGAGAAAAGCCCATCCTACTAAACTTTCGCCCACTGCACACTTCAAAGTACGTGCGCTGCCGGCGTTTGGGAAGTACGCTACGCGCGTAGTACGCAGTCTACGTATGTGCACTGGAAACATTAAACGTTACTTACAGAATTGAGGTGAATTTGGTTTTATATTCGCACATTCATTCGCATATTGTTTACCACGGTACTACAAGTATGACTTGAAAACAACATTAGCACAATTTAATAGTCTGTGAACAATGTACTTTGGTAGTCATTGGCTAATATGATTTCACATTCACTAGAATACTGTTCCCCTGCTGAAAAATCCAGCTTAAACCAGCCTAGGATGGTTAACTGGTTTAGCTGGTCGACCAGCCTGGTTGTAGAGGGGTTTGGGCCAATTCCAGTCTGGTTTCCAGCCATATCCAGCTTGGTTTTAGCTGGACAGGCTGGGAGATGACCAGATAAAACCAGCTTGACCAGCCTAGCCAGGCTGTGAGCCCAGCCAAAACCAGCTATGTCCAGCTTAAACCAGGATGGTCAAGCTGGTTTAAGATGGTTTTAGCTGGTCACTTTCCAGCCTGACCAGCTAAGACCAGAAATGACTGGAAACCAGCCTGGAAGTGGCCAAAACCCCTCTAAAACCAGACTGGTTGACCATCTTGGCTGGTTAAAGCTGGATTTTTTTGCTGGGTCTGGAATTATATTAAGGAAAAGTCTAAATGTGTGAATATGCAATCAAATAAACGGTAAAATAAGTTGTCAATTAAAGTAAATATATATTTTTGTGAATGATCAGAGCTTATTTTGAAGGCTAATCAACATTTGGAGGAGATTAAACCCTTAAGAGGGTATAGCTCAGCCAAAAATCTAAATTATGCCATTAGGCTTACTCGCACTTCACACTGTAAAAAAACAAACAAACAAAAGAAGTCTGTTAATAAGTTTCCATATTTTGTGATTCAAAAGTGTTTTCTGTTTATCTGACGGTTGTGGGTTGCATTATGGGATGTTGATCTCTGCTCTGTCGACTTTTGATGTTGAAAATCCAACTCTGCAGTTTAACAAAGTGACTTTTACTGACTTTTTTATTACTTAATAATATAATGTATACAAAATATTATAGAAATAAGTTTGTAAAATAACAGAAAATGTACTGCTCAATAATGTTTATGTCTGGTGAATGGGCTGGCCAACCCTGGAGCAGCTTGACCTTCTTTGCTTTCAGGAGCTTTGATGTGGAGGCTGAAGTATGAGAAGGAGCGCTATCCTGCAGGAGAATTGTCCCTCTGCTGTGGTTTGTAATGTAATGGGCAGCACAAATGTCTTGATCCCTCAGGCTGTTGATGTTGATCATCCACTCTGCAGATCTCTCACACGCCCCCATACTGAATGAACCCCAAACCATGATTTCTCCTTCACCAAACTTGACTGATTTCTGTGAGAATCTTGGCTCCATGCTGGTCCCAGTAGGTCTTCTGCAGTATTTGTGATGATTGGGATGCATTTGAACAGATGATTCAGCAGAAATTCTCCCTCCCAGTCCTCAAATATGCCCCCCCCCCTCCCCTGGTCTTCACATCGCTTATATTGTCTTATTGCTCATTGTCATAAATAAGAACGCATGACAGCTGAGCGGGACTCTGCAAAATAAACAGTGAAACTCTGACTTATGTTAGGAGAGTTTACTCAAAAGTGACTTGTTTTAGCTAGTTTTTGGACCCGTTTAGAAACTCTCCCGTGTGAAAGCGAACCGCACCAAGAACAAAGAGCAACATTGTAACAATTTTAATTTTAACCCAATTTTAACCTAAGGGTGCTTTCACACCTGTGAATCGATTCCGTTGTTCCGAAACAGAGATTACAATTGTTACATTGTTGCTATTTACTCTTGGTGCGGTTCGCTTTCACATTGCAAAGTTTCTAATCGGACCAAAGACCTAAAACAAGTCACGTGCGAGTAAACTCTCCTTACATTGGTCAGAGTGTCAGGGTTTATTTTGCAGCGTCCCGCTCAGCTGTCAGGAGAGGTGGTGGTTTGGTGGTGATTGACAGGGTGCGCGCGCGACGTGTCTGAGGAGAGACGCGGTGGGGAGGGGTGAAAAGGGTGCGCGACAATGCCTATTTGAGGACCGGGAGGTAGACGCAAGATTACCGGGAGATCATCACTCGTTTGCAAGCATCCGGAGACTCGCGAAACTTCCCGCCCTACTCATAATTCTCTCTTCATATAGCCGTATGCCTGTTACATATCCATAAAACACTGTGATATAACCGCGCTCGGATCGGATCGCTTTCTCACTGCAATCGAACCGCTCCAGGGTTCGTTTCAATCGAGCCGAGACCACCTCATTCAAGCGATCTCGGAGCGATTACTTTGGCGCGGAACAGATCGCGATTGCCCTGTTCACATATGCCAATCGAACTGCGCTAACTAGGCAAACGAGATACGTTCCGAAACAAAAGTGTAGGTGTGAAAGCACCCTAAGAGTACATTTCACTGTGCATGTTTGAGAGCTGTGCACCAGAGCAGAGCTCATAAATATTCATGACCATTCCAAATATGGTCAATAAGAATCTTCTGATTTTAGAGGTATTTTATTGGAATCAAATAACCATAAAAACGTTTCTGGATATTTCTTTAACTTACATAAGCCACAGACCTACTATGTAGATATTAGACAACACTTTAACTCATTTAATTGTATGTGGCGCCATTAATCTTATCAGTTCATGCAAATGCAGAGTGATTAATATTCTGAAACACAACAGATAATTAGTTAAAGCATGACTAATAATGTGACAATCAAGTTCTTTCATATAAAATACCAAAAACTATATTGAAAATGGCTGATGATCACATACAAATCACTTATTTTGTGAATAGAAGCACGGCACACACATAATGCATATCAAATAAACATCTACACACATATTTATATAGTTAGACTCATTCTCCGGCATATTCCCGCAATGAAAGCAGTCTATATAGTCACGACTGTGGTAACACCATTTTCTTTATTCAGAGTACGATGTGTCAACATCCAGCATGACAAATATTGTACAAATTCCACGATTTAAAAATGAAAAATCACTCCAACTTGTGATCTCACACATTTAGAATAAAATTAAAATGTCAACAAATCCATGCTGCATCGTACAAAAATAAATCAAACTCCAGTTCCACAGAGAGCACGATAGTTTATACAAAAACCCCGTCTTCGTCGATGATTCAACAGATCAACCTCCGAATGAATAATCTCAGATAAATAAACTCACAATAATTCTTATGAAAAGAAAATCAGCATTCTAATATGTGACTTCTTCCGCTTTACCTTAGGTAATTAATAAGTCACGTTTTATTATTATTTTTTAAATATGCATTGACAGTAAATGAGCAGCATGTTTGTGCTTAAATTTCCATTGTACCCAATGCTGATAACCGACTCAGAACTGATACTAGCTAGTTTCTCTATTGAAAGCATTACTATATTGGCAGAAAGCTGCAGATGTGATGAATAATGAAGTCTTAAAAAGAGGTCTGATTAGTAGTACGATGGATAAGATTTAGTACAAGCACCTTTGCATTAGCTCTCGGTAAGATATTAGCAAGGCTGCTACAGCTAGTCGTACAATGGAAATGACGAGCACGAGTAAAAATGCACCTCAGATAACATTTTCTTTTCTTCGAATGCTTCATGTTTGATTGACTACTCGTATGATTTTGTACAGTGATTAGACATAAAGTGCTGGGGATTACTTCATATGATATAGAACATACTCAACGAACTAGCATCGTCATTTAAAAACGCACAATATTGTAAAGATATTGTCCTCGTGAATCCCTGTAATCTCTGCTCAAGCCGCTGAAAGTCTTTCCTCGCGTCCTTTTTCCCTTTTTTTTGAGACACCTGGAGATTGCACATCGACTGAAGTGCAAATAGTCTTCTGGCACAAAAAGTGTGGAGGGGCAAAAACCCTGTAGGTCCCGTTTTTTATTGTCTATATTCTTTACAAACTCCTTCTCCGACGGTTTTCGTACTGTACAAACATCCAAAAACGACAACAAAAAAAAAGTGTCTCTTGCACAGCAACCAACTGAAACATCTCCTAAACTCCAACCTCCGTCCCGTTAAAACATTTGTATTAAAAAGATTTATATAAAAATCAATCATTTACATATAGTAGAAAGATTCTGTAGCGTCCGCTGTGTACAAACATGAAATTGCATATACCCACCACATAGATTGCATCTCGTTTTTGTTCTTTTTCTTCTTTTCTTTTTTTAAATATACACATGGTTAAGTCACATATTGCTGAGGCAGTCCCATTCTGGCTACTGTTATTTATGGATGCACCGTTATGGATTTAGAGCTCATATTTTGGCCAGAAGTGATTAGTTTAATGTACACTACCTGACAAAAGTCTTGTCGTCGGTCTCAGTTGTAAGATCAGCAAATAATCTCTTGACTTCTAGTTGATCATTTGGGTAAGTGTCAGAAGGTGGATTTTTCTGCTGGATCATCTGTTGAGCTGCATCACAATCATCACCAATACTGCAGAAGACCTACAGGAGCCAAGATTCTCATAGAAATCAGTCAAGTTTGGTGAAGGAGAAATCATGGTTTGGGGTTACATTCAGTATGGAGGCGTGCGAGAGATCTGCAGAGTGGATGATCAACATCAACAGCCTGAGGTATCAAGACATTTGTGCTGCCCATTACATTACAAACCACAGGAGAGGGACAATTCTCCAGCAGGATAGCGCTCCTGCTCATACTTCAGCCTCCACATCAAAGCTCCTGAAAGCAAAGAAGCTCAAGCTGCTCCAGGATTGGCCAGCCCAGTCACCAGATATGAACATTATTGAGCTGATGACGGAGGAGGCGTTAAAGGTGAACACAAAGAGTCTTGATGAGCTCTGGGAGTCCTGCTGAAGGCTTTCTTCTTCATTCCAGATGACTTTATTAATCAGTGATTTGAGTCATGTCAGAGATGTATGGATGCAGTCCTCCAAGCTCATGATGGAGTCAGACACAATATTCATTCTGTCTCCACTGCAGCAGGACTTTATATTCTATACTGGACATTATTTCTGTTCAGTGATGAGACTTTAGTCTGAGCAGAGTCAGATCTTACTGTCCTAATCAAATCATTAATAATCAAGGCATGATCAGATTTTATTGTGCTCAAATAAGCCTCATCTAGAGGCCTTTACCTTTCATATAAGACACTTCTGTTACCAAATGGTCAACTAAGAGTCCAGTTATTATTGTTGTTCCTAAAACTTGGATAGCCGACAAGACTTTTATCAGGTAGTGTGAGGGATGCAATGCTTTCGACAAATCTGTAAAATAAATAAATAAATAAATAAATAAATCAATCAATCAATTTTACTTCTTACCGTAAAATGTGTAATAAATAAAATCCATAAATGGCACAATTTTTTTTTGATGTTGATGATCTCTCAGCAAGCGTCAGCTATTGTTGTACCGTTGTAGTAGTTGCGTTGATGTTACTGTAAATACACTAAAAGGTGCATTGATGAGCAGCGGGAAGGATGATTCACATTACACCAGCCCATATAAAAACGTACAAAATGTAAATGCTTTGCAGATCCCCCCCAAATAATGATCATTTTTTTATAAAGCAAGGCCAGAAAAAAAATCATAATTAAAAAAAATGTTTAGTCAGCATAACAGCATTGTTTTTAAAGAACATGACGTTTGATAAAGTACAACAGGGAAGCGTGATGCATCCTATAGGATTTTCTTCTCTTTTTCTGGAAGTGTTTTCAGATCCTTATGCTGTGAGAACGCAGCCGCTTCGTTCCCAGCAGCTAGACTTGAATGCCTTGCACAGCTTGTTTAATGTTTTCTAGCAGGGCCTTGTTCTCTGAGCTCTGATACTGATCTTGATTCGTGTATATGTCCGTCAGTGTTGTTACATATGCGTCAAAGTTCTGTTCGCTCATGGGCTCCTGTGGAAAAAAAGGCAGAGACATCTCCAGTCAGCGCAATTTATAAAGATAATGACAATAATCATTTAAAAACCTTGTTAAAAAGAGCAAAAATTGTGGAAAGGGATTGTCATTTGCATGTTTTTCCAGTAGTAAAATCCCCCAAAACGATCATTTCAGATTTATTTTTTCTTTCTGTACTCTTGTCTTTGTTCCATGATTGTTTGAGCAGAAATAATCAAACAAAAAGCTCATTTTGATTCTGATTCTCTAAGGCCCAATCCCAATTCTCCCCCTTAGCCCTTCCCTTATTAATCCTTGTCCCAATTCTCTTTAGCTTGAAGGCGTAGGGCTAAAGGGAAGGGGGTGAATAGCCCTTCGAACGAAGATTTTTCAGGACCACACTCAAAACCAAGTGGTAAGAAAATTTCCCAGAATACACCAGCCACAACAGCAGGATCGCAGCACCCAGAAGTCAGGAGATCCACAAATTAGTATTTTCTGTCATTATTATGAATCTTTATGACAAACAAGCACACGTTTTAATATATTCATAACCACGCTTTTAAAGAGCCCATATTATGGGTTTTTGAAAATTCCCCTCCATGTAGTGTGTAACACAGCTCTAAGTGAAGTGAAGTATCCAGCTAAGGCTTAAATCTGTTAGTGTACAGTGTTTAAAACGGTTGATTCATCTATAAAAGAGTCGACTCATAGTGCTTCAAACGAGTCGCCTTGATACCGACTCATTAGGTGTTTCGCCATGACGTACGAACAAAACCAAGTTATTCACGTGCACGCGCAAACCCGGGAGATTTCAAACCTGCGGCCCCGCCCTCTGACGCAGAAACCCAGACACACACACACACACACACCCACAAACACACGCACACCCACAAACACACGCACACAAACATGCCGGTCGATTGAAGTAACACTGCAGATGGACATTATATTGAGTCTCTACCCAAAGATGAAACATCAGCATTATAACCAAGCAGTTGGAAACTTCTGGAAGCTACATGCTACAAAGAATACTTCATCTGAGTTTGTTAAAGGAAGGATCAGTAAAGAGTAACTGATGGACGTCAGGATGGGTTTCTTCCTCCATTTCTCAAGTGTAAGTACGTGCGATTAAAGTTGTTGCCTCGTTGACTCTAGCTTGCAAATGTATTTAGTTGTGATTTGTTACTTGTAACCGCGTGTACTGTATCAGGTTAACTGGATATATTATCTTATCGCGTGCAAAGTCACGTTAAAAACGCGACGCGTGCTGTTTGTTTATGGAGCTCCGTGCTAGAATCGCTCCCGCGATTTATTCGGAAATGTATTCCCGCGCCGCAGAAATCTGGCGCGGGGAGAGAGAGAGAGAGAGAGAGCGAGAGAGAGCGAACGAACGAACGAGCTTTGTGTACTTTGTGCTGTGTGTGTGTTTTTATACAGACAGCTTGGCTGTCTGGACTGTATACTGGGTGATATTTGGTTGTGTTCTCCGCTCTAGCGGGATCGGGCGCGGCGGGCAGAAAACGGAGCGGGTTCTCAGGCTAAAACCTGGCGGGTGCGGGCGGAAGCGGGAGCGTTGTCATCCGGAGGTGTGTGTGTGTGTTTTTGTTTGTGTGTGGTATGGCGAGTACACGACTGTCTCCTTCGTTCGGTTATCCGTGGCACTATCCACTCGCCATAGTGTGGCAGCTAAAATCCACGCCTACACTATCGAGCGTGTATGAACTGTGATTACTTTTTAAATTGCTGATTAGCTATTGGCCATTTCCCTCTCTGACTGAAGGCAGTCGACCAATCGCGACAGACTGTCATCGGTCCAATCAGCGCAGATTAGCTTCCCGCTAAGGAGGGGTTTGGGAACAAATGAATCACTGGACGATTCATACAGGAGTCGCTGGGATAATTAGGTAAAAATAAATGCAGATTATAAGACCATGAAAGTGTTTTTTGACCTTGCATGCATATTAGACTGTTGTTGGAGACCCTTACAACCAAGATATGACCCTATTTCATGTATAATATGGGCTCTTTAAACGCTTTGGTCCCACTTTATAATAAGTGGCCTTAACTAATATGTACTTACATAGGAATTAATAGTATGTAATTACATCTGTAATCAACTTTTGTAATTACATTTGTAAATACACTGTTGACCATCCCTTACACCTTAACCTACCCTTAAACCTACCCAAGCCACCAAACCTGTCGATAACCCAACCTCTATCCTAACTCAAAAGCACCACAAGTGTTCTCAAATACATTATAAACACAGTAAGTACATTGTATTTATTTTTTTGATGTAAGTACATAGTAGTTAGGGACACTTAATATAAAGTGGGACCAACGCTTTTAAAAAAAACACTAAAATAAAATCCGCTTCGTAAAATTTCGTAATCTATAATCCCTAATAATAACTCCTGTACAGCCGTCCAACAACATTCTGACACTCGAATACCTTGTCAGTAATGTAGTGGCTGGTAATGAGATTTTTACAGTGTCTGCTATAATGTTAGTGTTGTTTTCATGTCTTTACATTGATGAATATGGCCACTGTGTAAATGCACAGTACAGTTACGATCTTGTTGCCACATTAGATCATTATGATAACATGATATATGCCTTCAGTGATTTCCTGAAGATAAATACCAAACAAATAACACAACTGGAATCACTACAGCAGTCGCGATCATCTGATCTCATATGAAGCAAGAGATCGAGATGACATATGATGACGTGTGCAGGTGCTGTAGTGCTGTCCCAATTCTTAGGGGTACATTTTGAAGCCCTTCCCCTTAACACCCGGTTGTAAGGGCCAAGGGGTACAAAAATAGAATTAGGATTGGGCCTAAGTTCATCATTTAGCACCCACATAGCAAAATTTCTCTGGCCCACACAATCAGGTTTTGCTTGGCCCACATGCCGCAGTGAATTACGGTACATGACTGGACCAAATCTGGCTTCCAGACAAGGGCCAAACACAGACCATATCTGGGCCAAGTCTCAGCCAAGTTAATAACTCATAACTGGGCCTGAACTGGGCCAGATAGGTTGGTGTGTCACGATTGCAATGAAATTGATGAACCCATGGAGTGATGCGCTTTAGGCACACTATGGGCACGCTTTTTCTCAAAGTGACCTGATTGGTAGAATTTTTTTTCTTTACTCAAAAATGATTTTAGTGTATTTTAAATGTGGGTCAAGACTGGCCAAACTCACATGGCCCACTTATCAAATGTTTAAATCTGGGCCAAATACTACGTTTTTATCTGGCCCAAATCTTGTGTGCCGCCTTAAAAACGGTGCCACCTCTGCCAAACCCGGGCCATGTTTGGCCCACATGCTGTATGCCAGTGCCGGTTGATGCCTCCCACATAGCAAAATTTTTCTGGCCCAGCTCTGGCCCACACAATCAGGTTTTGCTTGGCCCACATGCCGCAGTGAATTACGGTACATAACTGGACCAATCTGGCTTCCAGACAAGGGCCAAACACAGACCATATCTGGGCCAAGTCTCAGCCAAGTTAATAACTCATAACTGGGCCTGAACTGGGCCAGATAGGTTGGTGTGTCACGATTGCAATGAAATTGATAAACTTATGGAGTGATGCGCTTTAGGCACACTATGGGCACGCTTTTTCTCAAAGTGACCTGATTGGTAGAATTTTTTTTCTTTACTCAAAAATGATTTTAGTGTATTTCAAATGTGGGTCAAGACTGGCCAAACTCACATGGCCCACTTATCAAATTTTTAAATCTGGGCCAAATACTACGTTTTTCATCTGGCCCAAATCTTGTGTGCCGCCTTAAAAACGGTGCCACCTCTGCCAAACCCGGGCCATGTTTGGCCCACATGCTGTATGCCAGTGCCGGTTGAATGCCTCCCACATAGCAAAATTTCTCTGGCCCAGCTCTGGCCCACACAATCAGGTTTTGCTTGGCCCACATGCCGCAGTGAATTACGGTACATAACTGGACCAATCTGGCTTCCAGACAAGGGCCAAACACAGACCATATCTGGGCCAAGTCTCAGCCAAGTTAATAACTCATAACTGGGCCTGAACTGGGCCAGATAGGTTGGTGTGTCACGATTGCAATGAAATTGATAAACTTATGGAGTGATGCGCTTTAGGCACACTATGGGCACGCTTTTTCTCAAAGTGACCTGATTGGTAGAATTTTTTTTCTTTACTCAAAAATGATTTTAGTGTATTTCAAATGTGGGTCAAGACTGGCCAAACTCACATGGCCCACTTATCAAATTTTTAAATCTGGGCCAAATACTACGTTTTTCATCTGGCCCAAATCTTGTGTGCCGCCTTAAAAACGGTGCCACCTCTGCCAAACCCGGGCCATGTTTGGCCCACATGCTGTATGCCAGTGCCGGTTGAATGCCTCCCACATAGCAAAATTTCTCTGGCCCAGCTCTGGCCCACACAATCAGGTTTTGCTTGGCCCACATGCCGCAGTGAATTACGGTACATAACTGGACCAAATCTGGCTTCCAGACAAGGGCCAAACACGGACCATATCTGGGCCAAGTCTCAGCCAAGTTAATAACTCATAACTGGGCCTGAACTGGGCCAGATAGGTTGGTGTGTCACGATTGCAATGAAATTGATAAACCCATGGAGTGATGCGCTTTAGGCACACTATGGGCACGCTTTTTCTCAAAGTGACCTGATTGGTAGAATTTTTTTTTCTTTACTCAAAAATGATTTTAGTGTATTTTAAATGTGGATCAAGACTGGCCAAACTCACATGGCCCACTTATCAAATTTTTAAATCTGGGCCAAATACTACGTTTTTCATCTGGCCCAAATCTTGTGTGCCGCCTTAAAGACGGTGCCACCTCTGCCAAACCCGGGCCATGTTTGGCCCACATGCTGTATGCCAGTGCCGGATGAATGCCTGCTGTGCCAGCTTTATGCCAAATCTGGGCCAGAATTCTTTGCTACTAGGGCAGTAATGCAATAATATTTTAGATAAACAGTATATTTAATACCAAACAAGTATTCATACCAACATATAGTTGAACTTACTCTCTGGTGCAGCTGTAAACAACTGTTGTGTCTAACTGCAGGCTCTTTGTGAAATGATTTCTAGAGGAGAAAAATGAAAGTGCATTAGCTTACAGTAAACAACATGCACAAAACACACAGTCCTGAATATACACAGATCTATGAACATGCCGCTTCAATCTTTGGAACAATGCCATGTGTGTTGCAGTGACTTTGTGAATGTTTGTTTTTATATAATCATTTGTTACATACCAAGTCAAATCATGTACAAACAACCTACACTCACCGGCCACTTTATTAGGTACACCTTACTAGTATCGTGTTGGACCCCTTCTGCCTCCAGCACTTTCTTAATCCTTCGTGGCGTAGATTCAACAAGCTACTGGAAATAATCCTCAGAGATTTTGCTCCATATTGTCATGATAGCATCACGCAGTTGCTGCAGATTTGTCGGCTGCACATCCATGATGCCAATCTCCCGTTCCACCACATCCCAAAGATGCTCTATTGGATTATGATCTGGTAACTGTGGAGGCCATTTGAGTACAGCGAACTCATTGTCATGTTCAAGAAACCAATCTGAGATGATTGAGCTTTATGACATGGTGCGTTATCCTGCTGGAAGTAGCCATCAGAAGATGGAGACACTGTGCTCATAAAGGGATGGACATGGTCAGCAGCAATACTCAGGTAGGCTGTGGTGTTGATATGATGCTCAATTGGTACTAATGGACCCAAAGTGTGGCAAGAAAATCTCCCCCACACCATTACACCACCACCAGCAGCCTGACCGGCTGATACAAGGCAGGATGGATCCGCCCATCCGAATGTGGCAGCAGAAATGGAGACTCATCAGACCAGGCAACGCTTCTCCAATCTTCTTCTGCAGAAGATCGTCTTGACCATGTCTGCATGCCTAAATGCATTACTGGCTTGCTGCCATGTGATTGGCTGATTAGAAATTTGCGTTAACGAGCAGTTGGACAGGTGTACCTAATAAAGTGGCCGGTGAGTGTATATTGCAGCGAGATGTTGCTAGATTTCTTTGCTATTGAGAAGTGACAACCACATTGCACCTAGATCCGGTTTCCCTAATAAGTTGCACTGTGTGTCACTTAGTTATGCACTGATGGCATAATTTCCAAAAGTTGCCCGACAACATTGCTCAACAGTTTGCCAGTGTATCATCAAGAATAGGCTTTATTTTTTAATTATTCCACATGAACTAAAGCATCATATGCTGTTTGTGCGGGTGCTGTTTGGCTCTTAGCATGTGACTGCTGGATATAATAAGTAAATGGATGTGGTCACTGTTGTCAAAGTGCTGTTCAGTCACTTGTTTTCTTCCTCTAAGGACTTCAGATTAGACTCCATTGTGGTGATCTGGGAGACAGAAAGACATTGTGGTCAACAGAAAGATTTCTGTGAAGCTGCTTTGACATGATCAGTATTATATATATATATATATATATATATATATATATATATATATATATATATATATATATATATATATATATGATTGTGTAAATCCCCTTACCTGTGTTCGGAGTTTGATCATATCTGCTTCCACCTGTGAATTTGATTCATTTAAACCCTTAATATCTTCATCCAGCTGTTTAATATCTGCATCACAGTCTAAACCTAAAAAGAGAACAAACAGACATAATTCATATAGTAAATCACATCCAGCTTGAACCGCGACACAAAAAGACACAAAAGTAATAGTGGTAGTTGTGTATAAACAGTTCAGCGACCCTTGACGTCACTCCATTCAATGTCTGTTTGCAATAAATTCTATTTCTAAATATTTTTTACACAAACTTTCTATTTACATTAATATGTCTGTCAGATGTCTTTTTACAATTAGATGTCAGTTAGGTGTTTATTAGATGTCTTTTGTTATAATTAGATGTCAGTTAGATGTCTTTTTACAACTGGATGTCAATTAAATGTCTTTTGTTGTAATTAGATGTAAATTAGATGTTAACTAGATGTATTTTGTTGTAATTAGATGTAAATTAGATGTAAATTAGATGTCTTTTGTTGTAATTAGATGTAAATTAGATGTAAATTAGATTTATTTTTTGTAATTAGATGTAATTTAGATGTAAATTAGATGTCTTTTGTTGTAATTAGATGCTAATTAGATGTATTTTGTTGTAATTAGATGTAATTTAGATGTTTATTAGATGTCTTTTGTTGTAATTAGATGTAAATTAGATGTAAATTAGATGTCTTTTGTTGTAATTAGAAGTTAATTAGATGTATTTTGTTGTAATTAGATGTAATTTAGATGTTAATTAGATGTCTTTTGTTGTAGTTAGATGTAAATTAGATGTAAATTAGATGTATTTTGTTTTAATTAGATGTAATTTAGATGTTAATTAGATGTCTTTTGTTGTAATTAGATGTAAATTAGATGTAAATTAGATGTCTTTTGTTGTAATTAGATGTATTTAGTTGTAATTAGATGTAATTTAGATGTTAATTAGATGTCTTTTGTTGTAATTAGATGTAAATTAGATGTAAATTAGATGTCTTTTGTTGTAATTAGATGTAATTTAGATGTTAATTAGATGTATTTTGTTGTAATTAGATGTAAATTAGATGTCTTTTGTTGTAATAAGATGTAAATTAGATGTATTTTGTTGTAATTAGATGTAATTTAGATGTTAATTAGATGTCTTTTGTTGTAATTAGATGTAAATTAGATGTAAATTAGATGTCTTTTGTTGTAATTAGATGTAATTTAGATGTTAATTAGATGTCTTTTGTTGTAATTAGATGTAAATTAGATGTCTTTTGTTGTAATTAGATGTTAATTACATGTATTTTGTTGTAATTAGATGTAAATTAGATGTAAATTAGATATCTTTTGTTGTAATTAGATGTAATTTAGATGTTAATTAGATGTCTTTTGTTGTAATTTGATGTAATTTAGATGTTAATTAGATGTCTTTTGTTGTAATTTGATGTAATTTAGATGTTAATTAGATGTCTTTTGTTGTAATTAGATGTTAATTAGATGTATTTTGTTGTAATTAGATGTAATTTAGATGTTAATTAGACATCTTATTTGTAATTAGATGTTTTTAACAATTAAATGTCAATTAGATGTCTATAAGATGTCTTTTGTTATCATTAGATGTTAATAAGAAGTCTTTTTACAATTAGATGTCATTTAGATGCATTCTGTTATAATTAGATGTCATTTAAATATCTTTTGTCCATTAGATGTCTTTTTACAATTAGATGCTATTAGATTTCGTTGTTGTAATTAGATGATAACTAGATGTCTATTTACAATTATATGTCAGTTAGGTGTTTATTAGATGTCCTTTGTTACAATTAGATGTCACTTAGATATATTTTTTACTCGTTTTACATTAATCTTTCTACTCTATCTTTTAGTACTCGTGTGCACAACACTTTGGTTGCTTTTAAATGTGCTTTATGGATAACTTTGGTATTGTAAAGTATTGTATTTTTAGCCGCAGTTGCCCAATTGGCTGTGCTTGGACCCTGATAATTGCAGCTATACTGTATAGTTGTAACTGTATAATACTACATTTTCCATTTGTTTTCAGTTCTACAGTGTAAAGTGAGCATGTTTTTGTCTTGTACCGTTGCTTGTTTGCTGTTTGATTGTGAGCATCTCCACTCCTGATAGTCTGGCTTTCTTCATTGCTGCTGTGGCTCGTGGGCAACCAGAGAGACTGTAAAAACATGAGAAAACCGATGAGGAATACGAGTTGTGCATCACCAAGACTTTTGTTTCTCAAAAAAGGGCAAATAAAAAAGCCTTGAATGCATGACCATTCTGGAATCAGAAATCATATATTTGTATCCATCAAGCAGAGATTAAATTAATCAAAAAGCATCTTGAGCAAATTATTAAATTAAAATTATGACTGAAGAAATTGTTATTTTCTCTTTATTTACAGTAACTGACAGTCCCAGTATCGCCATATATATTGTGATGAATGTACAGAATGCAGCACTAGATGGCGCTCTCTCCCCATCACTGACTGAGCTCATAGCATTCACTCATTTATATTATCTGTACTGTATCTGCAGCGTATGTCCTGTTCACTGCACAGTGCACTTATTGTCTGCATGCAATAAACAACAGTATAGTGCATATTATACATTAAATTAATGTCATCT